CTAGTAGTGTCTTTGCTCCTAGTAGTAAGGCCAGGAGCCCCTAGTAGCGTCTTTGCTCCTAGTAGTAAGGCCAGGAGCCCCTAGTAGCGTCTTTGCTCCTAGTAGTAGGACCACCACCCCTGGTAGGCCGTGTGTTTTTCTTGCTATGTTTTCTTTTTCGACGCTTTTTTGCATCCCAGCTCCAGGTCTTCGTTGCATTGCACAACAATAAAACATATCTCAAGCTGCAAATTGTGGGGGGGGGTGGGGGGGGGGGGGGGGGTGGGCCAAAATAATGACGTCGGTCTACATCGTCTCGATCGTCTCGTCTTCATGCGGCGCCGAGTTTTTCCCTCAAAGGCCATGGGTGGCCTCAGTTTTGTGGGCGCGCTCGGTTTGTCGTACGTGTTGTTGTTGCGAGTAGTCAAGTTTACGGACATCGGAGAACTTCCGGCCAACCTTAAGAACTGTTTTTTGGTGGATGTGTTCCATGTGGACAGTTCAAAAGCTCGCGCTCGCGAAACACACTAGCGCACCTTTTCACATTGAACACAAAAGCCTGCACGTGTTGAGTTCTCGATTGATGTTCTCACCGAACAGACTCCCCCATCTTGCTTTCGCAAGATCTTGAAGGAAAAAGCCAAAGCTGCCGTAGGCCCAAGGCTATTTGTTCAGGCACTTGGCCTTGTAGTATTCGGCGCGCATTCGATCCATGGACCAACCGCGCTTTGCGTGGTCCTTTTGGAATTTATTCCATGGATTGGTCGGCTCATCTTCGATCCTTTGGATCGGCCTGACCATCAGCTTGGCCTTCAAACTAGTTGAACTGGCCGAGCTGGCCGTGTTGGCTTTCAGAGCCTGCTGGAGCATCGTCGCCGCAGCTTCGGCACTTTCAGCTGCTTGACTTGCAGCTGCTGCTGCGATTTGCGCACACTCTGCGGCGCGCTCAGCCCGATCCGCAGCCTCGCTGGCTGCTTGAGCTGCACCATCAGCAGCTTCACTTGCGACCTGGGCAGCATCAGGCTTGCTTTCACTGGATCTCCTTCTCATCATCTTTGATGAAGCCCTGCCCAAACAGCCCGATCGCTGCCTGGATGACCGGGACGAAGATCTCCTTCTGGACATAGAGTCTTCTCGGTCTTTGACCCTCATTTTTGGTGGATCTCCTTCATTGCCAGCACTTGGCGCAACAGCTCGCCGTCGTCGAATGGCTTGAGCTTCCTCCTCCGTCTCATCCTCCATCTCGGTGGCTTCACTCCCACGCAAACGACGGCTAACCCTCCCCCGTGACCGTGCCCGCCTGGACCGCAAGGGGTGGTGCAGCAACGTCCCAAAAGCAAACAATACACTGTAACAGTCTCAGTGTCACGGACACTTGAAAAAAACACACTGGTCCATTCTTTGTTTCTGTATGCGCGACCGCTGACTATCAGAACATGATGGCATCTAGTGACTCTGAGTTTAGTGAGACTTGGACTCAGGGTCTATGCATTTCGACCCGTCCAAGCCATGTTTCATGGCTTGTAGACTTCCTCAGTCGGGCGGTGCACAAAGATCTGCCAAATTTCGCCGGTCATGTTACCCTTCTTCCTCTTGTGGATGAACGCCTGCCACAAGTCTAAATCTTACTCAGAACAGAGCGCAAAAACACACGCTTAGGATTTCTGTTCTACTTCCCAGACCTTCTCGATGACAACTTCAACCAGCAAAAAAAATGCCTCGCCTCCCATTCGCCAGACTCGTCTTTGTAGGACCGCTCCGCAGTACGGCAATACGTGTTGTTCTCGCTCTTTGGTTCCTTCACCTCAGAAGGTTTTGCGGCACTCTTCTTCTTTGCAGCCACCGTTGGTGCCGTGACTGCAGAAACCGGCATTACAGTTTCTTCTGCCTCCTCCTCCTCCACTTGCTCCTTGACTGGCTCAGGCGCAGGCTTGAGAAGCGCTGAGGGTCGCTTCAGCACTTTGGCCCTTGCTGCCTCTTCGCCGGAACCCAATCCATCTTCTGGGTGGGACAGAAGGCCGCTTCAACGCATTGCGAAGTGCAGAGGGGCGCTTCATCACTGGCTCTGGCTCTGCAAGATTTTCGACACACACATGTTAGAACAGAAAGAAATGAGCCCATACCGCCAAAAGGCTGGGTCGGCATACAACGCGAGGTCCGAATCCTCAACGAAAGGGCAGATTCCATGACCATCGCTAAGGGCAGCAAAGATGTCGGCCAGTGGCGCGGCCATTGCGTCACAGGTCAATGTCCTCCTTGATATCCTGCATTGCTAACTCTGGTAGGTCTTCAAATGCACAGCCTCGAAAATTCAATTCAGCAACACGCCTCCACAAGGTCGCCCTCAATAGCATGTTGGCACGCCGAAAGGAAACACTCATCCGTGCCAAGGGCCACTCTCTGGGCAGCATTGTGTACAGGTTGGGGCTTGGTAGTTCAATTGGTAGCTTTGGGTTCTGCTCAGAGCCTGCCTGGAACCGGTAGACAGCTTGCATTGCCATTTGCTCATTGCTCAGACCCGATTGCCAGGTCCGTGAGCACAGTGCCCGCTTGTTCCGCTTCCTTGTTCGGGGATTCGATTGCAGCAAGGTGGATTTCTTCTAACTCCCTGTGGTCTTTCGATGGCTCTGCTTCGATTTCATCTGGCATGCCAGGGTCATCAGCCACTTCATCTTTTGGCCTGGTGACTGGCATGCTATCAAGCCCCATATGGTGCCATATGGGTATGTACTTGTATGTGTTCCTGCTCTGGTGGAGCCATGTGCTCAGGTATGCTTCCATGCAAAAGAACTCACTGCTGTTTTGCATACCCAAATTGCCCCAATGAGCACTAGCACTACCACAGGCTCCCAAAAACTGCATCGGAGTCCTGACTTCCTTGAGCCTCGGCTGCCCGAACCAATGCACCACCAGCCACCAGTGCTCTCACTGCCAGTGTTGACCAAGCTTCAAACTGGATACTTTCACCTCTCTGGAGGTCTCAAACTCACATCACCACAGAAGCCTGCGAAACCTTGGTTCAGCAGCGGCTTCGTCATGCCATTGGCAACCAACTCAGTACCTCGAAGATGAGCGAGCTTCCACCGCCGGGGTACGAGCCATGTTCATCAAGGGCCTGCTTCAGGATGTTGGACCTCACACGCAAATGCCGGGTCCTCCATGATGTGGCACTGTTGCCATAGGCGAGGCTGATAGCAGCGGCGTTGTTGGTGTAGATGACACGCTCGAAGACATTCGAGTTGTTCAGAGGCTCCCCCACATAGCGCGCAACAAAGCCTCAGTTGCACGGCCTGTGCATAAAGCTTCGCAATACAACACCAGTTCAGCTTCAGCGGTGCTGTGGGTGACAAAAGGTTGAGTTGCACTTTGCCATGCAATTGGAACTCCAGCAAAGCATACCGCCAGGCCTTGAACACTTCGATGATTGGAGCCAGTGCCATAAGCTATATCGGCAAAAGACACGCGCGATCCTCGCAGAGGGTCACCTGCGCACAAACCAAATTCGCACTTCGCCACACGTTTGAGACTCGACGCGCGCGATTCTCGCAGAGGCTCAAACTTTTCGCATTTCACGTTTGAGCACTCGACGTGCACGATCCCCGCAGAGGGTTGCTCGGGGTCAAACGCGATCGACGTTTCACCACACGTTTGAGCACTCGACACGCACGATCCTCGCAGAGGGTTACCCGCCCACAAACCAAATTCGCATTTCGCCACATGTTTGAGCAATCGACCCGCACGATCCCCGCAGAGGGCCGCTCCAGGTCAAACGCGATCGACGTTTCACCACACGTTTGAGCGCTCGACGCGCAAGATCCTCGCAGAGGGTCACGTTTCGTGAGCTCCGGCCGGACCTGCCCGCCGCCTTAAGAGTAGAAAGAAACTTATAAAGAAGTCGAATCGAAGTGTTAGAAGTATTTTTCGTAGGTGAGATTTAGTAGGTGCTTTTAGTAGGTGTTTCAACACCTACATATCTACACCTGTATCTCTACACCTGCAAAGCCCACATCTTTAAAACCTACCTCTGCAAAACCCACATCTGCAAAACCCACATGTTATGTCATGATGTATGATGTATGATGTATGATGTATGATGTATGATGTGTGATGATGACGATGACGATGACGATGACGATGATGATGATGATGATGATGATGATGATGATGATGATGATGATGTGATAGTAGCGATGATGAAACAGATTATGTTGGAAGATGATTTGAACACATGTCCTTTGGAAGAGAAACCCTTCGCAGGTGCTTTCGGGAAAACATGTTTTTGAAAAAGTTGCCAGCCAGAAAGAAGGCACACGTACTACCACGATTTTGTTATTCAACAAAAGCTTCTTTAAAATATGTGATCCTTCTCTGGCTTGTAACTTGATCATTGACTTTGAATTTGGTCATTGGAAGCTTTGCTGCTTATAATAGATACCTCTTGTAGCGTCCTTGCTCCTAGTAGTAAGGCCAGGAACCCCCAGTAGTTTCTTGTTACTAGTAGCGATACCAGGAGCCCCTAGTAGCGTCGTTCCTCCTCTCTCTTCCAGCTGAGCCGGCTTCACGCAAGACTTGAAGCAGGAGAAGGGACAGCGCAAGATGGCCGACTACGTGAGCCAGGTAGCACCGGCGATGGCAGGTTTCTTGATGTTTTCTTTGGGTTTTTGGTTTGGAGTGCCCCGGCCGAAGCTCAAAAAATCCATGGTTGGGAGTTGGGAGTGCCCAAGACAGATTCATTTCTTTCTTTCAGGTGAGTTTTAAGAAGTATAGTACATGTGCTGCGAACAAGGGTAAGTTTGTTGTGAGAACCTTCAACCAGTACTCTTTTTTCCCTCCCTTGTAAGTCCTGAGAATGTTTTTGGTTCTTTTTTAAAGATCTTTTGGCTCCCACAAAGGGGTTCCCTTTGCCGGGAGTTGAGTTCTGTTAGGAACTGCAGGGAGAGTCCTTCCAAGCAGAATTATATAGACTGGGACTCACTAACATCGAAGTGGATGGGATGGTCCCTTGGAAGACGGCTTTCCTCTGAGAAAAGGGGGTGAACTCCACTTCCTTTTGCTCAGGCACGGGCGCGGGGCAGCCTGACCATTGGAGCCGCCACAGTGGCCATGACCATGGGCTCGCAGGATTGTGGGACATTCGCTGGGCAGGAACGGACTGGGCTGGTCCTTTGGAAGGGACCCACAGCCACACGGCCCCACCAACGGACTGAAAATGACCTCCACAACGACCTCAAAAACAGTCTGAAGAGCTCCGTGGTCCGATGGTGAAGGAATTTTTCGGGGGACCGAACAGACGGCGAGCCCTCTCCACGGAACCCGCCATGGTGAGCCCTCTCCGCGCCGCCACGGTGATTCGTAGCGAAGATTGCTGGGAGCCGGGAGGTGTGAAGAACTGGGATCCAAAGGACTCGGACGAGTCGGATGAACTGTGCCTAGATTCTAGATGGAAAGCACACAGGGAATGTGCTTCCCATCTGGGGGGAAACTTCATCGGTTTCCCCAAAGCCTGAGTTGATGCAGCAAAGATGACCAAGATCCATTGTTCTTTTTTTTTGAGCCACCTATGCGGGTGCTCCTTCTGTGAATCGGACATTTCGCGTCGTTTGGAATTTCCAGAGACCAACATGTTCCAAGCACTGTCGGGTGTTCTTCTCTCCATTGCTGTGGGTATAAACTGGTCCCTGGTCCACGTGCTTGGCTGACCAGGATGCATCTCAGAAGGTTCGAAGAATCAAATCTGGACGCAGACTAGCTTCGTTCAACTTAGGGGTAGGGTGCATTACACTAAAGTGCCCCCGATGGCATAAGGGGTTTGGTAATTTTTGAGCACTTCCAGGTTGAACTGGGTCTTTGTTCAGACACACACACACACACACACACACACACACACGGGCTCATCGAGTTACACGTCTGTACTCCGTCGCCAGAGGATGTGCACCAGGCGATTGCCGAAGTGGATCCTGTTTTCGCCGTGAACGCGGTGTATGTCTACGAGCAGGTCGGAGGGTGGGCCCTTGGGTCTTGATTTCCTGCCGCATCCGAATAAGTGAAGTCTACTGAGCGGCAGGACACATTGCATCAAAGGACCCAGGAGGGTCCAAGAATGAAATCCAAGATGATCCAAGCCTTCAGAATCACCTTCAGTATGTCAAGACTTCACACACTCTTCAGAACACTAGAACACGATGAATCTGCCCGATGAAGTGGAGGTTTTCACCGGACTTTCACCGGGCGCTTTCACCACCCGTCGGGAAGGCCTTTCGCTCAAACACACCGCCCTCCAAAAGTTCGTCGATGCCTTCGGTGGTCCAAAAAGACCCCGCTGGTGGTCGATAGTCCAATAGATCGACAATGATGGACATGGAGGGACATGCGTCCCACTGGCCGTCCTCGACACCCTGGCGCACGGCCGTTGCCTCGACTCCGCGGTCCATGCGCCTGTCCAGGCCTCGCAAACCAGTCGGGGTCTCAAAGGCCCAGAGGTGGGAGAGGGCACCAAGGGACGGTGATCCGAACGTGAATTCTAACTTAGGTGGAAGGTCATGCTCCACAGCATTTTTGTTCAACTGACGAGATTGCATACAAGTTTTCTAAGTATTCAGAAGTCGGGACCCAAGGAGCAGGATTGATGCACCTCGATGTCCAAGCATCTGAGAGAGTCTTGATGCATGAGCACGGGTCAAAAAGATGCTGAAACCTTAGTGAAGTACTTGATGCTCTCAGTTCGTCTGAACGGAGAACTCGCAGATTCTGCCGTTGGAAGAACATGACAGAGGGCTCGCACCAACGCAGATTCTGCCGGTGAATTTGATTTCAGACTTTCGAGCTTTTTGAACGGAGGGCCTGACGTCCGAACGGATCAAAGAGCTTGGCGTGGCTCGACGTCAGCTTTTTTGATCTTTTTTGGATTAATTATACAATAAATATATATACATATACACATGGGGAAACTTGCCCTCCAGTGGCCAGCAACTTGATATTGCCACGAGATTGATGAGCTCTTCTTCCTGATCATTCTTGGAGCCGGTCGCGGAGCAGACACATTGAAGAAGCTGGTGACACTGTTCGAGGACGTACCAGCAGACTGGCCCAACTGGAACGCAAAGAGTGTGCTGTGAATGACAAAAGGGCCCACCAATAGGTTTCATTGTGATGGTCGTGATGGCACAGCCACTGAAGATTGATTGCCCTGCTTGATCTAGAGGAGTATACACGTTGTTGGCTTTGCTTCAAGGTGGGTCTGTATGCTAAGCATCTGCCGAGAGTGCTGCATGGTCTTTCAGCTCTGGTGAAAGGAACACAGAAGAGCCTTTTTGTGGTCGGAGTAGTGGTGGATCATGCCGACGTTTCTGGCTTTCTGAAATACAGAAGAAAGCTTGAAGCCTAACAACCCCAGGTGCAGCTATGCTGTATCTGTAAGTGTTTGGTTGAGCCTTGTGACCATGCCGTGTTGCTTGAGGCCACCTTTGTCTTTGAGTGTCGAGCATGCTTCATCGCTGTCCCTCCCTGCGGCGATGCTTCATCGCTATCGCGAGAATATCTTGTACAATATGTCGTAGATATGATGTCTACGACATCTCGTGAACGACACGTCTACGACACGTCGAACGGACCAGGCTCGTGATCCGCGGCTTGTCGGGCCTGATCCCGGTTCGGTTCCGCCGCTTCTCGTCCTGGACGGGTCGCTGAACAGAACACGAGATGGAGGTTTCTTCATGTCGGTATGTGTATCTATGTGGACCCATGACCACCCTTGAGACCAATGACTCTATTGGCCCAAAGATATTTTCTCTGGGGTGCCTGGGGTCTCTGCATTTTAGGATATGTACCAATGCTAGTTCATAGAAGTCCAAGTCAAGTCTGACCCCCCATTCCCCATTCAAGGGGTGCGAAACTGTTTCTGGTGAACGGTTGGGCCATGGCTCTTGTTGAGCTGGTCCAGAACATGGACTTGGTCCCAAAAAGATGCGAACGAGTAGGGTAGGGTTTCTTCTTCGTCCATCTTCCTTGTGTTTGATATCCCAACTCTGGGCTTCGGAGCTTTTCCGAGAAGCTTGTTCAAGGCTGTTCATGAGACAGCTGCCTAGACTCCGTGTTCACAGTGGTTGAGCCGGTGGGGCCATGCAGATCTTTGTGCGAATAGGTAAAACGATTGTCTTGGACGTGGAACCTGCTTACACTATTCAGAGAACGAAAGAGCTAGTTCATCACAAAGAAGGCGTTCCTGTCGAGCAACAGATTCTCATATTTCAAGGGAAGAGCCTGGTGAATGGAAGAACATTAGCGGACTACAGCATTGGCAAGGAGTCAACACTGCACTTGAGCTTGAGACCGAGTGCACGTGGCACAGTGATCCGGATCTTCGTCAAAACACAGTGGGAAGACATCATGAGGTTTGAAGCCAAGCTGGATGACACAGTCTACGACTTGAAGCTTCGCATTCAGGCCACATATGGCCCTCCTCCAGATCAACAGTGCCTTATATTTGCGGGGGACACGCTGGATAATGGGAGAAGGTTATCCGAGTACAGGATTGACAATGCCACACTGTGGCTGGTGTTGAGGACGGGGAGGATCAGATCATTTGCTTCACATGCCAGATCGGATCCCTTGATCAAGTACTTGATGCTTTCCGATGAAGATCGGACAGCGGCAGAGGTGCCCTTGGAAGCTCTGAAGGAGAAGGCACAAAGCAAGAATGTATCCGGCTTTAACACTTATAGGTTCAGAGTGGGTGAAGAAATCGTGGGTCGTGAGGACCGCATGCTCTTATCAAGCTTTCTTGACTATATGTGGGACCAGACAGCCTCTGTTCAATTCCTCCATCGAGTTGACCTGCGCCTCCACCTCTCGGAGCAACAAGTCATACGACTTCTGGGCGCTGATGGTCATCCGAACGCAGAAGCTACTGTGAAGAAGCCTCCCAGAAGTACTGAAGATGGGTTTGACTTGTGTATATTGTGTGCATATATATGTATATATACTGTATATATGTGATTTTTTCCACTGTCTATGTGTATTCTCGAGTCTAGAGTCATCAAGCAGTGAAGCAGGCAGCAGGCCGGCAATTCAACATCAAGAGTGGCATAGCCATATTCTTGAACGGTTCCACACTTTGACCCTCTCCGAAACTAAGTTAAGGTAAAAGGCCAAACCCAGCGGCTCATAGCGTGTTCTTTGGTTCGCCAGCCTTCCCCTTGGGTGTGAGTTAGGACCAAGACTGCCTGCGAACGTCGAGAGATTTGGGGATGTGCGGGTCTGGGGGGTAGTGGGAGGCATCAGCCAGGTTTTAGCAAAGCTTAATGGCACAGCTCAGTGCGAAGTCGGTTTCTTTTCTATTGGCTTACTTTCTAATTTGCCTTTTCTGAGACGCAGAACATTTGAGATGGCTTACGTGGATTTTTTCAGGTCTGCTATGTGTTCTTGAATCTTGAAGGCAAAGCCTGTTGAGCTTTACAGAAGAGGCAAACCATGGCTTGAGCTCAAAAGTCTTGCCTCTCTTTTGTTCCTGCCTGTTGCTGTGCAAGTTTTGAGACACATTCCGCAAGCTGGAATTGCTGGCTTATGTTTCATATTCCTTCTTGTTTTTCAATTTTTCAAGCGTAGCCGAAGAATGCGACCAAAAGCATATAAAACATCGTCGTGCTGCTTGTGGCTGGACGCGCGCTGAACGGCCTTGGACCTATCGGTTTCTTCTTCCTTTCTGCTTCATGCTTTGCTCTGCGCACGTTTGCCCACCTGTGGGATCGCTTTTGTGTTTGCGTGGGTAGCTTAGGGGCACCAGTCATCGTTTTCCTTTACCTGACGGAAAAGAAGCATGAAACCAGAGCCTCCTGCAGAGTCGCGCATCCAAAGTGTCCCTAAAGTTTCCTTTTTTAAAGGAAGCCTGATGTTTATGTCGCACGAGCGCAACCATCGGTCGCGAACTAAAACAGCCACGTGCTCCGTGCACGGTGCCTTGGATTTTTGGGGCAACTGTTGACAAATCCGAACGAGGTGCAACCAGGTGTGAGGCTCAAACACAGCTTTGGAAGGTACTCCACAAGCTCTGCTGGTGCCAATACTCCTTCCTTGCTAGGAATATATATGTATATTATGGCATATATATACACACATACACATGTATGGTATAATGGTATGGTATGGTATGGTATGGTATGGTATGGTATGGTATGGTATGGTACTAGTATGGTATGGTATGGTACGGTATGGTATTGTATGGTATGGTATGGTATGTATGCATGTATGCATGCATGGATGGAATGTAATGTAATGTAATGTGATGTGATGTGATGTAATGTAATGTAATGTAATGTAATGTAATGGTATGTAATGGTATGTATGTGCGCATGTATGCATTTTTTCCCCAAACAGTGTGAACACACTAGGGGTTCTTACGGTAGGGGAAAAGGAGCTGATGCTTAGATGGCTGAAGCGCGCGGGTGTGAACGGCTAATTCGTTGCTATTTACAGTACATTCATGCCTCTCGAAATCCTCGAAGTGCATTTCGACTGCGCAGGCTTGCTGAATCTGGGTGTCTGCGGCGGGTGCTTCTGACGACTGTGCTCTCGTTGTGGTGCCGTGCGCATTTTCGCACATGGTGGTCACTTTTCGTGGCAGACGCAAGGGAAACCTCGCGTTTTGGTGCTTCAAAGTCGACTTTTCGTGACAGGTGCAAGGGCTCGGAGCTGTTTTACTTCGAAGTGCAGTTTTCGTGGCAGGCGCAGCACTTTGGGCATGGTGGTGATCGTCGAGGAGCTCAGATTTCGTGACAGGTGCAGTGAATCGTGACTTTTGGACATGTGGCTCGTTTGCAGATTTCGTGGCAGGCACAGCACTCTGTGACCCTCGATGTGCAGATTTCATGGCAGGTGCAGCACTTTGTGAACCTTGAAGTGCAGACACATATTGCAGCGCCATGATATCAGTGCCGATGGACGGTTAGCAATGTTTTGCGTGGCTTCCACTGTCGCCCAGCCTACTGCGTAAAAACAGGTCCGGATCCATAGCGCCCCTTACCAGCCAGAGCGAGGATTTGGGGAAGGAGACAGGACTTCCCCCTGGGCCTGGAATGCTCTCTACAGTAGCAGTGCCGCGTCAATGCTGCGCGGCCGGGCCTTCAATGCGGCGTCCCCTGGAGGTGGAAAGCAAACTTGGAGTTGACCCCCCAGGTGGACGTGGAAAAACGATGGACGTGCCTGTCACCAGACCCAGGTTGAAGTGACCATCGTCGCCGACGACACCACCTTGCATGGGTCCCGCGCTGAGCTTCACACTGCCGATGAACGCGGTCCCTCGGGCCTTGACGTGTTCGCAGCGGCTGTCTTTTTGGGGGGTCTAAGGAGCGTGAAGGCAAACGTGAACGGCATACTTGTGGCAGTGCCACAGGCGTGTGCTTAGTTGGTGGTGGCGTTGCGCAAGAGGAAACTGTGAATCGGAGCATTCAACGAGGGTTGAAGTGTTGGGCCAAAATTCGACCTGCGCTGAAGAACACCAAACTATAAGCAACGGGGACGCCTGCTGATCACTTTCCTTAATTACAGTGGTCTAGCGTATTCTTGCGAAACCCGCACCGCCAGACAACGGGACATGATCCCCACGCAAGCAGGCATGAATACTGACTGTCGACTGTCGCTATCTTTGTCGCACCCGGCTCTCCCAAATTAAAGACCAAAGGGTGAATCACAATGACTTGAGGGCCAAGCTTCAAATTCCGACAGTGCAAGCAGCTATGGACTCTGAACAAATGCGATGGCTCGGGCATGTTTGTGGCATGACTCCCTTCTGCAAGAACGCTTATGCCAAGACCTTTGCCCGTGGCGCTATTGACGTTTGCAATTTCCAGCGGTTGGCCTTGTTGGATGGTGGCCATACTTCGGCCGACCGTCGTAGTTTGCCCGATGCCTGGATCACATTGTATCACAAACATGGCGACGAGGCGACTGTCGAAGACATTGCGCGTGATCGAATTGCAACAACCTGCTGGAGCGTCGTTTTGCGCAAACAATCTTTGCTGATCGCCAGGAGTCCCACCAGCACCAAAACTCCCTACCTGACCCTGGATTACAACCATGAACGTCGACTGGAACTGCAACGGCAACGCCGTCGCGCTGCCAAAGCGCAAACTCGACCCCGCAGGGGGATGGTTGGTCACCAATTGGATGGATGGATGGATGTAATGTAATGTAATGTAAGGTAAGGTAAGGTATGTATGTATGTATGTACGTACGTTGGTATGTAATGTATGTATGTATGTATGTATGTATGTATGTATGTATGTATGTATGTATGCATGCATGGATGGATGTATGTATGTATGTATGTATGTATGTATTTTTTTCTCCTGAAGGTGTGGTTGCGGTTTGGCCGTGGTGGCCTCGGTGCCGGCTCAGTGGCCTCAGGGTGTGGTCGCGCACTCAGAAGTAGTCCACCGTGACTTCTGGGTCGTGAGCCATGTCATCCTCTTCTTCTGCCTCTTCCGTCGAGGTGGCGCTTGGTTCTTGAGTTGCAGGCTGCATCTCATCCGAAAATCTGAGCTTCTTGGGCATGGGAGGTGACAGTGCGTCTGAGCCCGTAGGGGCCGCTGCTTCAGAGTCAGCTGTTGGCTGGGTGTCATGGCCGGTGATGGGGCTAGTGGTTGCCCTTGCCGTGCTGAGGGATCGCTCTGGTGGGGTTGTCCTGCCCTGAGGATTGGTCTGGCTGAAGAAGTGAGCCAGTGTTGGGGAGGTCGGTTTATGACCTTTGCATTCCTTTTGGAGCCCTTTGGTGAGGATCAGTCGATCCTGAGCATCCAAGTGGGTGTGGAGTCCGCAGCCTTTGCATTGGATGCTCTTGCCGATCTGCCACAAAGTGTGGGTGTTGTGGGCTGCATGTTCTTGGCCAAAGGGTGCATCAATGCAGGTGCTGTGCAAGAACTGATTGAACAGCTCCTCATTGGCCCGTTTATGGATGGCCTGATTGCGTTTGGTGCACTTAAGATATCCTGTGGTTTCCTGAAGGTGATGAACATCCGGGGTGGTCGGGTGCTCCTGCTGTAGCTGGAGCAAGGCTGCAATGCGGCTTGGTCGGGTGGGTTTCTTGCCAACAGCCCGGTCTGGTGGTAGATCGGGCTCAGGTGCTGGTGCTGTGAGCTGGTCGCAGTCCTCTTGAAGCCGTTCCTCAATCATAGCTGCTGTCAAGCCCTGGTGCACTCTGGTCTGGCAGGTGTGGCATTGATACCCGCTCCTGTGGGCCTTCCACTGGTGCTTACCGGGTTGCCATGGTTGCTGGCATTGAGCGATGAGGGTCTTTTTCCTTTGCTTGGTCTTGTGCGCTGTGGCTCTGCCTGGCTTGGTGTGGAGATAGTGCTCTTTGTCTTCGTAGATTTTGGCCAACCGAGCTCCCGCATGCTGGTAGATCTCAAGGTGATCCTGATCTAGGATGCGCTGCCAAGCTTCTTTGTCCGGGTTGTGGATGCTGGTGGCCCTCTCCCATGCGGCCAGAGCGGCATCTCTCTGCCGTTGGCGGAGATGGGGTTCGCTTCCCGGTGCGTCTGGGGTTTTGTGATTTTTGGGGACGTACAGGGGTGTGATCAGAGTAAAGTACTGTGAAGGGTGCCCCTGAACGAGGTCATGAAAGCCTTTTCTCTTGCCCGGGTTGTTCCAAGCTTCCCAGACGGAGCTGACCTGGACGATCACTCTGGTGGGTGTCTGGATGTACTGAGCCAGAGTGATGAGCCCCTGAAAGATGGCCCTGGCTTTCGTTTGTGGGCCCTTGGCCACGCCCGTGATGGTGCCTTTCCGCTGCAGAGCTCCGAGGGAGTAACCATGGATACAGAGCGCGTAGATCCAGGCCTGTGCTCGTTTGTCACCTGAAGTGGGAGTGGCATCAACGGTGACTGAGAGCCCTTGCCACGGTTGGAGCGGAAGTGGCTCAAGA